ACTGCCCTTTCTCCTTAGGACGTCAGGCTAGAGCTCCAACTAGCACTTGCGTTACATGCGAGACTGATCGGACGGGAAGTCCACCCTGACAAAGAACTACATAATTAGAAATGGATCAAGTGAAAGGGAGGGCTTCACATTCGTAATAGAGCTCAAGACATAACAAGTTCATGCTGACAGGGCTATGGCAGTGCCAGACAGGCAATAATGGAACTACGAATACTTTACTTGCACAGGACAAGGGCATTTCACCATTGGGTGGGAAGTCAATGCACAAAGGCTCAATTTCAGTGCTTTATTCACTATAGTGTTGTCTGCTTCTAGGCAGTTACAAGGATCACCAGTGCCCAATTAATGTATTATCATGGTGAACACACACCAGGGACAGAGATCAAGCCCAACATACAGCCAGCCCCCCCCCAGAGCTACAATTCACATCGCTGACCGCAGAGGGACAGCAGGTGATCAGGAGCTGACGGAGGACAGGACAAATGTAGGAAGGGGGTCTTTCCCTCAGAGCGTGGAGCCTTCTCTGTAGCCCACGCCAGCAAGTCTGGGAGGAAACGGCTGACACTTAATATTTAAACTTTTTGGGCACTTCCCAGGGGAAGCCTTCCCTGCCAAAGTGGCCATAGACTGCAGTCCTCTGATAAATTGGCTTCTTCAGATCCAGATCCCTGGAACATACAAGTGCGTAACTTAATATGTAGCATTCATTTGAAAGAAAGCACAACAATCAGCAAGACCCGTGTTCAAGAGCTCTGGTAAGTGGGGTCAGTTTTCCGCTTTAGGCTAGGAAACAGTTGAGGCAAAGGTTACTTCCCTGGTCTCCAAATTCCTTGTATAGTTCTTTATCAGTAACTATCGTTTTTCCATCACTTGTTCAACAAATATGAAAACTTGTCAGTGTCCTGAGAATTCCAAATGTCAAAAGCTCATCTGAGATCATGGAAAACTTATGAAAGCCCCGTTGTCCCACCCTGTGGTGTTTTCTTTAATAGCCCACACCTTGTCATTTAGCTTGCACGTTTTTCCCTAAGGAAACTTCCTAAAGTAGGAAAAGCCCACTATCACACTTAAGGATTGCTGCTTAGTCAAAGCCATGGAGCAGGATTTTAGATTTTTTAAATAAGCTAAGACTTCAACGAAGGTAATTAAAACATCCTTATGCTCCTAGAACTTGAAACACCAAGTTTTATCTGATCGAAGAGTCATTCATTTTCCCTCCTAGATAGATTTTAGTAGTATGCACTACTCCCACACCCTCAGTGTTTTCACTAGGAAGACATTACCACCTTTACCTGACAATGACTTCAGGGCGGAGGTCAAAATTCTTCTTCACAATATCTACTAGCTCTTGCTCACTCTTCTCAGAGGTGCCGTAATGGGAAATGGAAATCGATAATGGGTGAGCAACTCCAATAGCGTAATTGACCTAGAAGAATTCAGATGTCACAAGTCCATGATCCCAAGAGCCACACCCTTTTGCAATAAGGTGTATTATCCCCCCTCCGCTGCTGCCCTTACATGACATTAATTTCCCTGATGACAGCAGAACACATACCTGCACAAGCACCCTTCTGCACAGATCTCTGTCAATGAGGGACTTTGCCACCCAACGGGCAGCATAAGCAGCTGAGCGGTCCACCTTGGTACAATCCTTTCCTGAAAAGGCACCTCCTCC